TTACAACACAATAAGCACACAACATAATTATCAATATAATCTTTTCAAAACTTGTTACAAACAACAATCTCTCTTCTCTCTCTTCTTTCTTCTTTCCTCTCTCTTCTTCCTCTTCCTCTTCTTCTCCTTCCTCTTCTTCTTCTCCTTCTTTCTTCATCTCTCTTCTTCCTCATCTCTTCTTCTTCTTCTCTTCTTCTTCCTCTTCTTCCTCCTCTCTCTTCTTCCTCCTCCTCCTCTTTCTTTCTCCTCCTCCTCTTCTTCTCCTCCTCTTCTTCCTCCTCCTCTCTTTTCCTCCTCCTCCTTCTTCTCCTCCTCTTCTTCTCTCTCCTCTTCTCTCCTCCTCTTTCCTCCTCCTCCTCTTCCTCCTCCTCTTTCCTCCTCCTCTTCCTCTTCTCCTCCTTTCCTCCTCCTCTTCCTCCTCCTCTCTCCTCCTCCTCTTCCTCCTCCTCTTCCTCCTCCTCTTCCTCCTCCTCTTCCTCCCTCTCCTCCTCCTCTCTCCTCTCCTCCTCCTCCTCCTCTCTCTCCTCCTCCTCTTCCTCCTCCTCTTTCCTCTCTCCTCCCCTCTTCCTCCTCCTCTTCCTCCTCCTCTTCCTCCTCCTCTTCCTCCTCCTCTTCCTCCTCCTCTTCCTCCTCCTCTTCTCTCCTCTCTCTTCCTCTTCCTCCTCCTCTTCCTCCTCCTCTTCCTCTTCCTCCTCCTCTTCCTCCTCCTCTTCCTCCTCTTCCTCTTCCTCTTCCTTCCTCCTCCTCCCTCCTCCTTCCTCCTCCTCCTCCTCCCTCCTCCTCCTCCTCCCCTCCTCCTCCTCCTCCTCCTCCTCCTCCTCCTCCTCCTCCTTGTCTTGTCTTGTCTTGTCTTGTCTTGTCTTGTCTTGTGTGTGAGTGTGTGGCTTATAATTGTTTTGAGTCAGAAGTCTGCAGCTGTCAAAGTGACATATTGTCTCATTACTCACTCCCCCTCCTGCCTGTCAAAACAATGGGGTCGGATGCTGCTTCCCCTCCTCCATTCTATCTAATTATCTTTCTCCCTCATTCTATATCTTTCAATCTGTCTCTCTTTCTATCTGTCTGCCTATCTCTGTCTCACAGGTACACATAAATACAAGTATACATAGTGTAAATTACCTAGGATAACCCAAGAAATCCAGACAAAGTGCTATACTCTGCTTGAAGATGTGAGTAAAAGTGATGACACAGTCTTGTGGCTCTCTCTGAGACAGAGAGCTAGATGGACAGACAGGGAGCTTGACAGACAGACAAATAGACAGACAGAAATGTTTGTGTACCAGCAAAAACAAAGGGAGGGCGATGGTCATGTAATATTTCCTTAGCTCTACCCTCGTTTATGCTCATCAAAGTCAGCTCTTATCAGATGTTATCTCCCCTTATCTTGTCACTGTCATGGGGTGGACCTTTTTTTTTTTCTTGCTTCAAGGGAACAATATTATTACATCTTCTTCTTCTTCTTCCTCCTCCTCCTCCTCCTCCTCCTCTCTCCTCCTCCTCCTCCTCTTCTCCTCCTCCTCCTCTTCTCCTCCTCCTCCTCTTCTCCTCCTCCTCCTCTTCTCCTCCTCCTCCTCTTCTCCTCCTCCTCCTCTTCTCCTCCTCCTCCTCTTCTCTCCTCCTCCTCTTCTCCTCCTCCTCCTCTTCCTCCTCCTCCTCCTCTTCTCCTCCTCCTCCTCTTCTCCTCCTCCTCCTCTTCTCCTCCTCCTCCTCTTCTCCTCCTCCTCCTCTTCTCCTCCTCCTCCTCTTCTCCTCCTCCTCCTCTTCTCCTCCTCCTCCTCCTCCTCCCTCCTCCTCCTCCTCCTCCTCCCTCCTCCTCCTCCTCCTCTCCTCCTCCTCCTCCTCCTCTCTCCTCCTCCTCCTCCTCTCCTCCTCCTCCTCCTCCTCCCTTCCTCCTCCTCCTCCTCTCCTCCTCCTCCTCTCCTCCTCCTCCTCCTCCTCCTCTCCTCTCTTCCTCAACTCCTCCATCATGAATATCTCACTCCACTCTCCTCCATCTCTTTGCATCACTTGGAGCGTCCCATTCTCTGGTCCTTTCTTACCGCTCATCTAATGGCAATCTTCCCTCCCGCTCCTCCTCTTTATATGTCCACACTGCCTCCCTTCCTCACATTGTGGTCTCTAACTCCTTTCATCTGATTGATCTTCATGACACTCCCTGTGTTAGGCATATATGGGCAGAGAAATGGCCCGACGTATTTATACTGGGAAATCAAAGTTATGCTACGCTAGACATCTAATGACACTTAAATGCAATTCCACTGCATGCTTCCATTTGTTGCCTGCTACTCATGATGTTGCACCTGCTTCATGGTTGACCCACTGCTACCTCCAGTGGTGCCTCCACTTCTCCTTCTTGTTGCAACTGCTGTCTATCATTTAAATACGTCAAACATTGGCTCGTCAGTTGTCTATACGTGCAGTCAAAGTCAAAGGGTTAATGCTACACTTAATTGCTACACTTAATTGCTACACTCTTAATGCTACACTTTGCCACTGCTGCTTCATGTTGTCTGCCACTGCTACCTCATGATGTCTGCTACTGCTGCTTCATGTTGACTGCCACTGCTACCTCATGATGTCTGCCACTGCTGCTTCATGTCTGCCACTGCTGCTTCATGTTGTCTGTCACTGCTGCTTCATGTTGTCTGTCACTGCTGCTTCATGTTGTCTGCCACTGCTACCTCATGTTGTCTGTCACTGCTGCTTCATGTTGTCTGCCACTGCTACCTCATGTTGTCTGTCACTGCTGCTTCATGTTGTCTGCCACTGCTACCTCATGATGTCTGCCACTGCTTCATGTTGTCTGCCACTGCTACCTCATGATGTCTGCCACTGCTGCTTCATGTTGTCTGTCTGCCACTGCTACCTCATGATGTCTGCCACTGTTGCTTCATGTTGTCTGCCACTGCTGCTTCATGTTGTCTGCCACTGCTACCTCATGATGTCTACCACTGATGTCGCCAAAGAATCGAACATTTCTGCTATTTTGAGCTCAATTTCAAGGTACTTTTCATCGTGAAACCAATTAAAATCATATTTATTTTTGTAGTATATCTTCCATTCTATCACATGAGACCAAATAAAACGAGAAAACAACCATAAAAACCATACAAAAATACACTGCTAAGGGGAGGCTAATGGCTGAGAAGTGAACTCCGTTATTTATGGTCCGATTTCTTTCATTTTTGGTGTACTTTAAGAAGCATCTTTTTATCATACATTGCCCAAGTTTCAATAAGATAGCCCAACAAACAACTGAGATCCAATTCCCTAGATCAAGAGCAAGAGCCCCCTTACCAGTGTCAATTAACCTCTCTTGAGGCCCCCTCGCATCTGGAAATTTTGCTCGCGTCTGGAAGCAAAAAATCGACCGAGCAGCTGCTCATATCTGGAAAAACTCGTACGTGGATTCACTCGTAAGTAGAAGTTCCACTGTATAAAGTAATGTATTGACTCCTTTTCAACAGCCTAATCAAAGAAATATAGAATAGAAAAAATAAATACATATACACCTACCATCCGACTTACGACTGAGTTCGGTTCCGAGAAACCGGTAGTAAGTCAAAATGGTCGTAAGTCGAACTTTACTACTGAATATCAACATCACATTTTTGTAATGACTTTATTTTATTTTTTTTATTTTGGTATTTCATGTTTTACTTTACTTTTTATGCTGTTAGTACTGTATTTTATACTGTAAGGTTTAGGATAAACACTGTGTACAACACAAATAGTTGTTTATTTCTGAGAAATTTGGCATAAAAAACACGGTCGTAAGTCGAGTGGTCGTAAGTCGAGCAGGTCGTAAGTCGGATGGTAGGTGTATACAGTAAATGATTTATACACTTGGTTAGCCCTTGAACTGTCCAAACATAGATCTACGTTTGCTTGCATAGTACTCTGAACATAGATCTATGTTTTTTTTTACATTCTTATGGAGAAAATCAAGGTCGGGACGCTACACACGCAAACGTAGATCTACGTTTGGACAGTTTAAGGGTTAATTCAAATAATTGCCCTCAGTAATTACTGTTACTGAACAAATTGCACTTTGAGCCTGGCTGACAGGTGGAACATATTAGGGAGCACTGATGAGGAAAAGCAGAAAGGGACAGACTGTTGGTATCACACTCAATTCACACAATGAGGTCTGTGGTTTGAGCCCCGGTATGGTGGAAACTTTGGGGCATGTTTCTGTAAGACATCTGCTGTCCCCTGTTCACCTAGCAGTAAGTAGGTACCTGAGTGTTAGCCAACTGATGTAGGTTACATCCTGAGGACAAAATTAATCTAATTTACCTGAAATGCTCTGTTTAGCAAGGGGTTTTCCATATATTATGTCATTTGTGACAGCTAGGTTTGTATAAATTGTATCATGTTCTTGTAGAAATAAGGATTATTATTATTATTATTATTATTATTATGAAGATTGAGTCACTTATGCAACATATGAGAATCTTTATTGAGGAAACATTTCGCCACACAGTGGCTTCATCAGTTCAGTACAGATCAGAAGGGTGTAAGTAGAAGAGGAGTTTGAGGTAATCAGTCCCTCAGCCTGGAATTGATGTGTTCGGTCCATTAGTCTTGTAGAAAGATGGACTGAACACATCGACTCCAGAATGAGGGACTGATTACCTCAAACTCCTCTTCTCCTTACACCCTTCTGATCTGTATTGAACTGATGAAACCACTGTGTGGTGAAACGTTTCCTGAATAAAGATTCCCATATGTTGCATAAGTGACTCAATCTTCAACTTGTCGGTTTTTTAAACCATTTATCACATTATTATTATGGGAGAGTCCTATAGTGGTTCTTCAAGCCTTCCACAGAGAGTAGTTTTCAGTTCTGAACGTTTTGTTCTTTTATATATAGCTAATTTTAAAGGTTAGAGAGAGGGGATAAAGGAGGTTTTATGTGCGAGGGGCTTAGCCATACAGCAAGCGTGTGTGAGTATGTTAGATAGTAGTGAATGGAGGCAAGTGGTTTTTATGACTTGATGTCTTGTTGGAGTGTGGCCAAGGTAACATTTATGAAGGGATTCAGGGAACCTGTTAGCCAGACTTAAGTTTTGGAGGTGGGAAGTATAGTGTCTACACTCTGAAGGAGAGGTGGGGATATCTTGTTTTGAACTGAAGCATTGGCATGCCTCTGGCAAGACAATGATGGAGTGATATTGAAAGTGTTTCTTCCTTTTTTGGCTCACCCTACCTTGGTGGGAGATGGCTGGTGGGTTAAAAAATGACAAACTTTAACCCACAAAGTACCAATAGTCTATACTGACACAGCAGTACAGTAATTTTTTTTAAGTCCAGGTAATTAACTATAATATATATTAATTATTAAAGATATTGGCTAATTACAGTATAACTTCACAGGTACCAGATTTGTCGAGCATAAGCAAGGTTGTCCGAACTCTAGATCTTTCTCAGAACAAGTTAAGTGTGTTGCCACCAACTGTGTGTGATCTCTCCAATCTCAAACACCTCAATTTAAATGGAAACAAAATTAGTAAGTTATTCATGTTCTGTACTGTAGTTATAGTTTTGCCTTGTGCAGTGAAATTTCAGTATTGATGTCATCATACAACACAGTACAGCCTCTCCTCACTTAGTGACTTGTTTACCGTCGCCTTGAACTTACGATGGGCTCTCTAACTAGTATTTATACCTAAATAATGTAGTATATTAGAGCTGATTTCCTCTATTCTGTTTATTTCATTATACAGTACACTACTGTATAAACATTTAAAAATATACCAGAAATGTTATGAATGGTGCAAAGGTGACATTAGAAAATATCAAAGATGGTTTTGACACAAACCCACTACCATTATAGTATGCTCCTCACTTAGTGACGAATTCGTTTAAAGATGTAATCTTAGGAACGGAACTCCGTCATTAAGTGAGGAGAGGCCATACAGTACAATACAGTACAAATCTTCATTTTCAAATTACTGTATACATACAAAACATAAAATAATCTGAAGATTCAAATTATATTTTGCATGTACTTAACATCTTCATAGTTGTATTTTTTTTAAGAGTTTAATACACGGTATTGATAGGGACTGAAAAATAAATACAAGTGACAAGATAATTCAGTATGAGTAGTACCAGGATGTAGTTACTTAAATTATAATATGGAACACAATAATGAAATGCTGTATACTGAAAGTTCTCTGATTATTTTTGCAGACATGGATAAAAGAAGTAAAGACAATGATAGTAGTATGTAAAATTATAACTACAACAGCCATGTCTTAATGAAGGTATTGCAATATACAGTAGGGCCCCACTTATACGGCAGGTTAGATTCCAGGCCGTGGTCTTTGCTGTGAATCAGTAAAGAATATGGTTTTTATAATTCTGTATTCATTTTGCATGATGGTAGGATTGCTGGTGTCTTTTTTCTGTCTCATAAACATGTTACTTCTACTTACACTTAGGACACAATACACATGCATGTACATGTTTAAATATACACGCTTATCTGAGTTTTCTTTGATTTTATCTTAATAGTTCTTGTTCTTATTACTTTTCCTTTCATATCCAGGGGGAAATGGTATAAAAATCTTTTGTCTGTAAGCCATGTGTGTTGTAAAAGTCAAATGAAATGCCGGGAGCAATGGGCTAGTAACCCCTTTTCCCGTATAGCTTACTAAAAAGAAAAAGAAGAAAACCGTCAGAGTGGGATGTTTAAATGTGCATGGATGTAGTGTAAATGATAAGAAAGAGATGATTGTGGATGTTATGAATGAAAAGAAGCTGGATGTCCTTGCTTTAAGTGAAACATAGCTGAAGGGAGTAGGAGAGTTTCAGTGGGGAGAAATAAATAGGATTAAGTCAGGGGTTTCTAATAGAGTTAGAGCTAAGGAGGGAGTAGCAGTAATGTTGAAGGATAAGTTATGGCAGGAAAAGAGGAAATGTAAATGTATAAATTCAAGGATTATGTGGAGTAAAATAAGGGTTGAATGTGATAAGGGGGTTATAGGAAGTGTGTATGCACCTGGAGAAGAGAGAAGTGTAGAGGAGAGAGAGAGAGAGAGAGAGAGAGAGAGAGAGAGAGAGATTTTGGGAAATGTTGAGTGAGTGCGTAGGGAGTTTTGAACCAAGTGAGAGAGTGCTTATGGTTGGGGATCTCAATGCTGAAGTAGGTAAAAATGCTGTGGAGGGAGTAGTAGGTAAATTTGGGGTGCCAGGGGTAAATGAAAATGGGGAGCCTCTCATTGAACTGTTTGTAGAAAGAGGTTTGGTAATAAGTAATACATATTTTATGAAAAAGAGGACAAATAAGTATACAAGGCATGATATAGCATGTAATGAAAGTAGTTTGTCAGATTATGTATTGGTGGATAAAAGATTGAAGGGTAGGCTTCAGGATGTGCATGTTTATAGAGAGACAACGGATATATCGGATCATTAGTTGTAGCTACAGGTAGAGTAAGAGGTACACAGGACAAAATCAAATTAGGAACAGCAGGTAAGAGAGAGGTAAAAGTTTATAAAATAAGGGAGAAGAAAGTTGGGGTGAGATATAAACAACTGTTGGCAGAAAGGTGAGCTAGTGCATGTATGGGTAGTGGGGGGGGGGTTGTTGAAGAGGGCTGGGATAGTTTTAAAAATGCAGTGTTAGAATGTGGGGCATAAGTTTGTGGGTATAGGAGGGTGGATGCAGGAGGAAAGAGGAGTGATTGGTGGAATGATGAGGTAAAGGGGGCAATAAAAGAGAAAAAGGTAGCTTATGAGAGGCTTTTACAAAGCAGAAGTGATATAAGAAGGGCAGGGTATATGGAAAGTAAACAAAGGGTGAAGAGAGTGGTGAGAGAGTACAAAAAGAGAGCAAATGATAGAGTGGGAGGGGCACTGTCAGCAAATTTTGCTGAGAATGAGAAAAAATCAAACACAAAGTGGGAGTTATCACAGTTGCTCTTTGCTGATGACACTGTGCTTTTGGGAGATTTTGAAGAGAAGTTGGAGAGCTTGGTGGAGGAGTTTGGTAAGGTATGTAAAAGAAGAAAATTGAAAGTGAATATAGGAAAGAGTAAGGTGATGAGGGTAAAAAAATTAGGTAATGAAAGATTGGATATCAGATTGGAGGGAGAGAGTATGGAGGAGGTGAAAGTATTAGATATTTAGGACTGGATGTGTCAGCAGATGGGTCTGTGAATGATGAGGTGAATCCTAGAATTGATGAGGGGAAAAAAGGTGAGTGGTGCACTGAGGAGTCTGTGGAGACAACTTTGTCCATGGAAGCAAAGAGGGAAATGTATGGGTGGTGAATGTTGCAACAAGGAGAAGGCTGGAGGCAGTGGAGATGTCGTGTTTGAGGTGTTTGAGGGCAATGTGTGTGTGCATATAATGGAGAGAATTCGTAGTTTAGAAATTAGGAGGAGGTGCAGGATTACCAAATCTATTTTCCAGAGGGCTGAGGAGGGGTTGTTGAGGTGGTTTGGACATGTAGAGAGGAAGAATCAAAATAGAATGACTTTGAGAGTGTATAAATCTGTAGTGGAGAGAAAGCAGGGTAGGGGTTGGCCTTGAAAACGTTGGAGGGAGGGGTAAAGAAGTTTGTGAGTGCGAGGGGCTTGGACTTCCAGCAAGCATGAGTGTGTTAGATAGGAGCAAATAGACAAATGGTTTTTAAGACCTGATGTGCTGTTGGAGTGTGAACAGGGTAACATTTATGAAGGGATTCAGGGAAACCGGAAGGCTGGACTTGAGTCCTAGAGATAGGAAGTACAGTGGTCCCTCGTTTATCATATTTAATCCGTTCCTGGAGGAGCTACTATTATCGAAATCTACAATTTTCGAATGAATTTTCCCCATAAGAAATAATGTAAATACAATTAATCCGTTCCTGACACCCAGAAGTATTAAAACCAAAAATTTTTTTTACGTGAAATATAGATGTAGTACATAAACAATACAATGGGAAATGCTGAATGAAACATTAACAGAATAACACTTACCTTTATTGGAGATTCTTCTTAGTGTATGGGAGACTGGAGGAGGAGAGAGATTGGATTATTTACAGTTTGGAAGGGGAATCCCCTTCCAGCAACACCTCAGGTACCAATTGCTTTTCTGGGGTTGCTTCTCTTCTCTGTTTCTTAATGCCACTAGGACCAGCTTGAGAGTCACTGGAGTTGTGTCTCGCAAAATAACTGTCCAGAGAGCTCCGTTTCTGGCGTTTCTTTAACACTTCCCTAAAATGGCCCAAGACTTTGTCACTGTACATGTTGCCAACATGGCTTGCAACAGCCTTGTCAGGGTGATGTTTCTCCATAAATCTTTCCATCTTACCCCACATTGCAAAAATCTCTTTAATTTCTGAAGAAGGCACCATCTTCCATCTCTCTTCGTCCTCCTCTGCAGCAAGATGCTGAGCTGCGATCTGTTGCTCTTCCTGCTGATGCTCTTGCAGCTCCTCAGTGGTGAGTTCTTCATTGTGGTCTTCGACCAACTCTTCCACATGCTTCAAACTCACATCCAACCCCATGGAACTCCCCAGTGCCACAATAGATTTAACAACAGACATAGGCTCATCAGGGTCAGTCCCAAACCCTTCAAAATCCCTCTTGTTGACACAGTCTGGCCGCAGTTTTCTCCAAGCAGAGTTCAAAGTCCTGGTAGTCACTCCCTCCCAAGCCATAACTATAAGGCTTATGCAATGGAGGATGCTGAAGTGTTCTCTCCAAAAATCTCTTAGGGTCAAGTGAGTGTCTGAGGTCACATTCAAGCACTTTTGAAACATTGCTTTGGTGTAGAGTTTTTTTAAAGTTTGCAATGGCCTGCTGGTTCATGGGCTGGAGAAGAGGAGTGGTATTCGGCGGCAAGAACTTCACTGTGATGAACCCAAACTCCTCGAAAATTAGGTCATCCAAGTTTGGAGGATGAGCAGGTGCTTTGTCCATTACTAGGAGGCACTTGAGATACAATTTCTTTCCCAGGAGGTAATTCTTCACACTAGGGCCAAACACTTCATTGAACCACTCGACGAAAATTTCCCTCGTGACCCATGCCTTACTATTAGATTTCCAAAACACACACAATTTACTCTTCATAACATTGTTTTTCCTGAACGCTCTGGGATTTTCAGAATGGTACACTAGTAACGGCTTCACTTTGAAATCCCCACCAGCATTAGCACAGAATATGAGCGTCAGCCTGTCTTTCATAGTCTTGTGTCCTGGCAGTGCCTTTTCCTCCTGTGTAATGTAGGTCCTCTTTGGCATTTTCTTCCAAAAGAGGCCTGTTTTGTCACAATTGAACACTTGTTCAAGTTTCAGTCCTTCAGCCTCTATGTACTCCTTGAATTCATGCACATATTTTTCAGCCGCTTTGTGGTCTGAACTGGCAGCCTCACCATGCCTTACCACACTGTGTATGCCACTACGGTTCTTAAATCTCTCAAACCAACCTTTGCAGGCCTTAAATTCACTCACATCACCACTATTTGCAGGCAATTTCTTTACCAGATCGTCATGCAACTGCCTAGCCTTTTCACAA